TTGCCCTGTTATTTCTTCTTTCTGAGATCTGCAATTAATAAATACAGTGACATAAAATAGTTTTATTTAAATAAGACAGTTTATTTTTAATTGCAAGAATTTGTAACAAAATGGAAAGCCTCTTAAGTATAATTAAGACTGGAATTCAGCTGCAGTATCAGATACCTAATTAAAGTGTCAACATATGATTGGGTAATTGCAGTGTGATTATAGTCAGTGCAGGTTTGGTAGGTATAGTTGACAGAATCTGGAGAGTGACTCATTTCATCAGAAAATAGACAACACTTGGTTGACTCAATTGCTATCTAAACTCCCCTGATGATATCAAGCAGTTCCCTGTTGACGAGCTGCCTCAGGGCCAAGTTCACATGTAATATAGGAAAATATAGATTCAGGAGTCTGCATCTGGAGCCAGATCTTGCTGTAATAGTCTGTACTGATAAGAAATGTACAGATCCTCGTATCACAGACCTGCTGTGACCTTCTGTCAGTCAGGGCTTCACTGTCTTTCCTAGCTGGTTTTGGGGGACTGATTTTTGTACAACCCCCAATTCCTCTTCCTGCTTGGTTGCCTTCCTAAAAAGAAATGCTTTTTCACAGAGTAGAACTTATTGATACACATCTTTATAGATGGAAATTGATTTAGTTAAAACCACAGGAGGTATGTCCATCTGTGATTACTAAATATGTTGGTTTAGATGCATCTGCTTGCTCAGTATATTCCTGAATGGTAGAAGCTCTAGAAGGTAGAACTATAAGAAAACACTTCTGCAGTCCATGTGTTTGTTCTGTTTTTTCCTAAGCACCTGAGAATGGCCAGTATCAAGGCGAGGGTATTTTGCTAGATGGAATTTTATGTTTGCATTAGCAAAATTTCTTTGAATGAACTTCTTTGAAGAATGAGGCAGAATTCCTCAAATCCTTGATTGCTGTAGGTGGTCATATGACATCTTTGCTAAGGAATGGACAGATCTGGAATCACTCAGGGAGAATAATCCAAGCAATTAAAACAGCTGAGAATAAAAAATATGCTGCTTCCATGAGGTCATCCTCTTGGTTGTAGTCAGCAGAGCCCCACCCGAGTATTGGATCTTTTGGTGTCTAACTAATGCTGTATTCAACATGTGTATTGAAAGATTTCAAGCCTAGCTTTTCTTTCAAAAATGGAATAATACAATTGCTCATAACTGTTTCTGTCTTAATTTCTCAGTATGATGAAAGCATTCTAGGTAATTACCTTTCTACTTACAGGCAGAATTGCTAGATGTTGCAGCAGGTGCTTTCATCAAATTCAGACTGGGTGGTGTAAGTATCATTTTCCAATGTGTGACATTCACTGTGGGTTCATTCTGATGCACAGACGTAACCAGTTCATGAAAACATTAAGCACATTTGTATAAAATAAATGTGTTCAAGTAAACGAGTCAAGGTAGATAAAAACAGATTATTAAATTTATTAAATTATTAAGCATCTTTTTTTTAAAAAAGGTGATCTCTATTTCTACAGTTCTGGTCTGTCTTGCTGACTTAGAGATTTATGATTGATCCACTTCTACTAAGAGCATTGTGGTTGTCTGAATGTAGTTTTAGGTTGATTTCAGTGGAACAGGTTTTTTTTTATGGGAGGCTTTTCATTGACATATATTCCAGCTCCCTTTAGCAGCTTAGCTGAGATAAATAAGCAAAGAGGAAAGTTGTTCAAGGTCCCAGTGTAGTCAAGAGGAAGAAATTGTTGTCTTGAGAAGACAATTAATATTTTAGTTGTGGTAAATTCTTTGGTGCAAGTGACTTTCCAGCTCTCTTAACTGCAGAGGGAGCCTGTGGTGTGTAAGACTTAAAATCTTACTACAGTAAAATCTGAAAAGTAGTATGTTTAAATAGTGGTCTACTTGAAATGTTTTGCTGTGTACTTAGATACTTAGATTTAGGCATAAAATGCTTGCTTCTTGATATTGGACATGTAAATAGCTTAAAGTAACATAATGCTGTGTGTCTTTAATTAACAGCTGAAATACCTAAAATTGCCAACATTTTGCCCAGCTGTCTGCCTGACTTTTCTTTTGCAGTTACTTCATTCCTGTTTCAGATTTTCTTCTCCTTATTTAGCCCTGTCTTGTTAAATAGAACATCATTAATGTGCATCACACCAATTCTAAGTCATACTGGTGGAGCATTAGACACTACTTAGCCTTCTGTTCAGGCTGAGGCAGATGTATTATTACTTACAAGATGATCTGCCTAAGTAAGAGTAAGTATGAAGTAAGAAAAGAGTATGAGAATGGGAATTTTAGAGCCAAATTACTCTTCAGCACACACTGGCAACAGGACAAAATATAGACAGAAAAAGATTATTTAAAAAGGTATGTCCTGTCATTTTAAATTGTATTACTGGTATTTTTTAGGTTCCTCTCTCCAGGCTCAGAGACACAGGTGTGATTACCTGTCATCCAAATAATTTCAATCAGAAATGATTGGCAGCGGTGATAATACCTGATGTAATTATTAATGACTAGTGTTTTTCAACCTCTCCACTCTCTTCATGCCGTTTCTAAAAGGGTTTTCCAAGACATCCAGCAAGAATACTGGGATAATGCCATGGCTAGCATGTTTTCATTTAGCTCCTTTTTAGCAAGACAAGGATTGAATGATGGAGTGAAGACAACTAGTGTGTTTTCTGAGACCAAGTTACACAGATCAGTATTTGCTGGGCGATTACAGTAGTTTTAAGAGAAGGTTGATTCAGTTGAGTGCCATGATTCAGTAAATCACTTGGCAGTTCAATTGACTGAGTTCTAAAGAAATCCAAAGAGTTTGTTATTGTTTTAACCAACTGATAATACATGTGGCTGTATCCTCTTTTGACCATTAATGAAGTCTATTAAGTTACCAAATGTAATTTCCATATATATCGAATTCCTATTTGAGTTTATTATAAGCTTTCAATTTTTTATGGAATGAATATGTTCTAAAAAGCAAGTTCTAATGGAATATTTCTCTACAGGCCAATTTTCCTCCAAACATTTATTATAAAATATTCACTCACAGACCTATTGTGGACATGTGTGCCAACAGCCCTAAGGACTACACAAAACCAAACCCCAAGCAGGTGCTGCAGGAAAGGATTCTTGGAAAAATATGGAAGGATGATGGCAGCGGCTGGTACAAGCGTATAGAGAACAATGGTTGGAGACTTCTTTCCATCAGAGTAAGCAAAGGAAAACAAACTATTTTTCCCCAATACATGAGCTCATCTTTTTCTTCATGGTTGCCCTGTGTGTGAACTGGAACATTATTTCACATAGTCGATATATAAAATCATCATAGACAAGATCTTTGTTGTCATATGAGTTAATGATTGAAGATTTACATGAGATACTTTATTTGTAATACATTCTTCCTAACTTAGTCATTGCAAAGCGTACTAAGTAAGAATGTGTTTAAATGGTTCTGAGTACTATTCCATAAGACATTTGTCAGCTGTGGAAAAGACCTAGTGGTAAAGACATAATATAGTGCTTTAATAGGAACAACGAAATGAAATATGCCATCATTTAACTATAAACTTAGAACTTAACTATATTTAGATTAACAGTTAATAAAATAATGCAACAGCCTTTAATAGGAACAACGAAATGAAATATTCCATCATTTAACTATAAACTTAAAACTTAACAGTTAATAAAATAATGCAACAGTTTGTGGCAAAATAGGGATTGATAAGCATACTTCTGTAGCTTTTTATAGTCTGGTATAAAAAGATAGAAAATTGCAGCATAAAATTATCTTAAAATTGTGGGGCATTATTTTTTAAATTCTGAAGCAGTTGTGTTTTTGGCAGTCTTCCTTAAAGATGAAAGGTCTGCACAAGCACAGTTTTCTGTTATCAATTTGGCCTGAAGAAAGATTAACCAAACAGTTCCCTTGAATGCCGTCTACCTCAGAGTGTCGGAATGGCTACTTTTGGATACTGCAGGGAAGTCTGGCATTTCTGTGGAACTGTTGTGCTTCCCTAGTTCTGATGCTGAACTAACCTAAGTGTAGTTAGAGCAGTTAACTATTTTAACCTCTAAGTATTTCATAACTTAAAAAACAAACAAAAAAAAACCCAGGTACCATCTTGTGGAGTGTGAAGGTTTTCTTTTCATTTACATTTATGTAGAAATTAGAAATTTAACTTGCAATGCTCTCTTCTTTCTGAATTCCTTGCCATTTGAGTTTTTCCATAGATTCAGATGGAACTGCCCCCTTACAGCTGGTGCCCTTTGCCTCTTGTTGTGTTGCTGGTACCGCTGAAGAGTGTCTGGCCCCATCTTCTGGACACCCTCCAACAGAATTTTAAACACACTGATAAGATTCCCGAGTCCTCTCTGCTCCAGGCTGGGCAGGCCCAGCTCTGCCAGCCTTTGCTCATGTGGGAGAAGCTGCAATCCCTTAGTCCTCTCTGTGGTTATTCACTGCACTTGCTGCGGTGTGTCCTACTGAGGAGCCCAGCCCTGGACACAGTATTCCAGGTGTGGTAGATAATTACAGAGTGGAGCAGTTGTAGTTGACTTAGCGCTTGTGGGAAGACATAGTGACTTGAAAGGTTCAAAAGGGGTTCTGGTGAGGCATATTATACTGAGTATATAAGTAAAAGGTAAAAATGATGCATTTGTATTGTCATCATGATAAACAAAGCATGTGACCTATAAGAACATACACACTGGAGTTTAAAAGCATCAGCAGTGGCACTTCAATGAAATTCTCTCAATACTTCACATTTACCAACAGTTTTGGAAGACTATAGATCCTGTAACAGATGAGGGAAACAGAAAGGCAGAGGAGTTTCATTACTCTAAGATGAAGAGGAAGCAAGAAATTGAGAAAAAGCGAAAAAAGAGAAAAATTGAATGGATGAAAAAAATGTGAGTTAATACAATTTCTAGTTATGTGCATATGTTTTCTTCATAGGTTTTGAACAGTAACTTCGTCATGGCTGTCTTCAGAAATTATTATTTTTCCTGCTTACTAAAACATGTACATGATGAACATGATGCATCGAGTTGTGTTCAATATCATGTCGGGCTGCTTTTGTTGAGGACAAAGCTACTTCATGAGTCTGTTCATGCAAAGACTCTGAAACTATTCAGCAGGTGCTTTGGGCACAAAGCAGAGGGAAGCAACCTCATTCCAAACCATATTACTTCTCTCCGTGGTTTCTTTGTTGATATCTGACCGCATTGCATAGAGTTTGTGGCAGTGTAACAGAAGGACGTAATTTTTTTTTCCAGACTTGTGAGGAGGTTCCATAGATAAATGCCTTGGCCGTGTAACTTGCCATCACCTCATGAAAATTTAAGTGCCTAATCTAAGTGCTTAGTCTTCCTCAGTTGTCCTTGGATAAAAATAGGTGTGTCCAAGGAGTGACTGAGTCCTTCCTTAGCTCTGTCCAGCAGAGTGACTCACTTTCTGAGGACTCCCTCTTTCTCTGCTGACTGTTTATGGATTCTACCTTAGCCTGCTTTAGAGTAAGCTTCTAGCATTAGACTAAATGAAACTTTTGTTTAGGATCTACCTGAACCTTTGTATTTATTTCTGTTCAAAAATAGCTAAAAATTAATTACAAATAACACTGGATCAAAAATGATGTTTTGAGCTGGGTAGTAATCACCTGTGTATTATAGAAGAGTATCTCCCACCATTGTGAGAATTACTGATTGTCATTATATCGTATATGTTATTATAGGACATCAGATTAATTAATGAGAGTTTCTGCTGGTCTTTAAAATCTGTAAGCATTTTACCAAGTAGAAACATCCCAACACCTAGGGATGGCATCTACGCACCTCTCCCTTGTCCCCCCTTCCTGCTTCTGTTAAAGAGCTGACAGTGAATGATGGGCTTATGGCTGGACTTGATGGCCTTGAAGGTCCTTCCAAGCATAGTGATTCTATGTGTGGATGGCTGAGCATCTCCTGAGTATGGTACCTGAGGACAGAGGCTGTGGAGAACAACCTCGCAAGTCTTGCTAACGACTGCCTACCCCAAAATGCTGATTTGTGGAAGTGGAGAGTTGAGAAGCTCCACAGGGCAAATAACCACCCTTTCCAAACAGCAATGAGTTCCCCAAATTTTGTTCAGGGATGGTGTTGAGCAGCTTAGAGCTCCCCCACTGCTGGTCGTCCCAGGTCTCAGGGGCCTGGCCTCGAGCCCGGGGCGAGCTGCAGGCTGGATTTGCATTTGTTGCCATGTGTCTGTAACTCAGGTGAACTGCTGCTGTGTGGAACAGGTAGCAGGAACGACTGTCCTGAGCAGCCTAAAGCAAAACGGTTCCTTGCTGTTAGGTATTACGCAGGAAGCTTGAGGGTCACCACAGAAGATCCTGCTGCTGCGATGTTAATTCAAAGGGCTGCAGAAAGCGTGGTTGACACTGTGGAGAAAGAGGGATCAAACAGTGTAATGGACTGGGAAGTGGATGAAATACTGAGATGGACAAACGCACTCAACTACGAGCAGTAAGTATGTGCTTGGGGTCTTAGTCTGGAAGACCTGATTGTTAGTGATAAAATCTGATAAAACTTTCCCTCTAAAACTCTCTACAGGGTCCTGTAGTGCAGTGCAATAGGAAATGTTTCTAAATGCTGACTAATAGGCCATCAAGTAAAACTAAAGATATGTGACAGTGTAGGATTTTGTAAATCGTGATGCATTAAATACAATGTATGTATGTTTTATTGTGCTTAGGTACATCAACCAATGGAATAAAACTGCAACAAGCAACTCATCAGCTAACTGCCACGGTAAGTGACTGCCTCTAATAGCACCTCTCTAATAGCAATGAATTTTCTTATATATGATGTAATTTTTAAGAATTAATGTAAAAGTAGCAACAAGGCTCCTTTTTTTTTTTATCTCAGTGATTTTTTTTTCTGTAAGTTGCTGAGTTTCTGAGTCCACAATATAAACTCCATAAAAAGCAGTGTATGGATCATTAAGATCTGGCAGTCTTTTTTATGGTAGTGAATTTTAAAATGGGAAGTTGTTTTAATTTAATAATTAAAAAAGGATTATGAAGTTTAGAAGTCCAGGAAAAAAATACCTAGTTTTGAAAGGCAGATGCTCTGTGCTGATCTCATAGTACCCGGTCATGATTGAGCATTTTATTTCTGAAGTACTGCATACTTTCCCATGCAGTAACTGAGCATGAGACAGTAAGCAAATTCCAGACATTTTCATCACATAAACTGACACTGGCTATTGGAGAAAATTTGTCTCTTCACATAGTTAAGCATTTTGCACAGCTACTGCCATGAACCCTACCCTATAGCTGTATCTAACAAGGCAATCAGCAGAATCCCAAAGCCTCACCAACCAGTAAAGCACACTTGGGAATATGCAACATCCCAGCTGTCTGGATTTTTGTGTACTTCAGTTTGCTGGAGTCAACTCCCAAGTCTTTCAGAAAAGCACTTGGTTCATCGAATTTCATGCTCACCCTCACACCATGAAGAAATAGAGCATCCTACAAAAATAAAGAGCATCGTAATTCTCTACCTAGCAGATGATAAGGCATTTTCCAGTAAATTCTGAATAGCTCATAGACATGCTTGGAAAAGATGGATATCAAAATAATGAGTTATTTATAAACTAACTGGATGTATTAAATGCAGTGTGGCAGCCAACATTCGGAGTAAAAGACGTGTTTTGTATATTGAGCGTCCTTTAACAGATTATTTTTCCAAGTAAGAAATCCATGAAGCTCCTCAGTGTAGAGTCACTCAGATCACTTGATTAGTGAGACATTCATATCACTAAAAAAGAGTAAATTAAATGCAGTGTGGCAGCCAACATTCAGAGTAAAAGACGTGTTGGACAGTGCAATAGGATATAAATGTAAAAAGAATTTTTATGTTTTATATTAACAGGTTAATTTATTAAAATAATTTTACATGCATGTAATGTGTTCAAGCATTATGCAATTTTAAAACCTTCAAACATGCCTTTAATTAAAATGATGAGTAATTCTTTCATGGCAGCAAGCAGTATGAAAAGACCCCTCAGATAGGTAGATCTGCAATACAGCTAATCAAAAAGATGGATACTTGGAAATCATAAAAACTAAGGATGACAAACACTGTAGGAGTTGGAAGGAAAGCAGTTGGGCAGAGCATGAGGAGCAGTGTGAACAGGGAGCCCAGTTTCCCGTCCTGCATAAATACTGGCTAGTTTGAACAGGGTGATGATGAAACACCCTGTTGCTTTATGTGGTAACATTAAACATCATGTATCCTGAGGAGAGCCACAGTCACAAAGGTCTTTGTTATCATTCCATGTATAAAGTTTGCCTTAACAGAATCTCTCATTTACTGTCATTGCCTTACAAGACCCTGCATGTAAATGACAGAATTCAAATTAAGCAGATAAGGGATAATTATAAACAGAGGTATGTCCTATGGTGATTTGCACCCACAGTGGTTTTCATAGATCTGAATAGATTGATTTTAAAACAGGTTTTAATTAAACAGTAGTGCTGCTAAGTGCTGCAAGGGCATCACTCGAGTTTAGGTTTCTGTGTCTTGACATAGCCCAGAGGCTTTCAGTGTGTATGATCTGCCTACCTCATATGCAGTGTGTAGGTGTGTGAACGTACAGTATTGACTGATTAGCAGTGAGGCAAGTCAAAAAAAAGAACAAAAACAAATATCAAATGCAGAGCCAGAGTCTATTCTCATTTAAATTTGCAAAATTTAAATTATGTGATGTAATTCAAGAATTGTGCTATCTGGAAAAAAAATGGCCAACAAACTATCCATAATATTTTTTTCAAAAAAGCAGACTATATTTTCCTTTTGTTTTTTTCTATCATTTCTCCAACACAACTAGAACTGCCTCTAGTTTTTATATTTATTTGTTTAGTTAGTTTTAGTAGGTGTTGTAACAGGTAGATGTAAAGATAGAGTTATTTTAAATGTTACGCCATAGACTTTCTGACTTGCATTTCAACTCTTTGCTTAGGCTTCCACTTTCTTCAGTCACCACGTGATACATGTGAATTGTCCCGGATTCCACACCTTAACTTAACAAGAACAGCGAGTCTTAGTTCCTTATCTGCAAGAGAAGCAGATTTTGCATCACGACCAAATGTAACACCAGCAAATACACCTTTTCCTTGAGGCAGAAATTTCTCCAATGGGTACAAATTCTGAATGGTAATTTTGCTATTCTTCATCTATAGTTTGCTTTACTTTGTTGTGATGTGAAGTAAAGTTACTGTTTCAGCAGAAAACACTAAACAAATCCTGTCTGATAGATAAAGCAAATATCATCCGCCTTATCATGCAGGTTACTCTGTGAACACAAGCAACAATCAATCATCAGCTCTACTTCTGTTCCAACCCCTAGCTGCAATAACCGTCTTTTTTCTTCAGAGCCCAGCATAAAGTTTATGCACAACAGATGGCTAGATTGATACACAAGCTTTACACTGAAAGCTAAAAATTACTGCAGAATGATAGTGATTTTTAGACATACCACTGCCAGGTATTTTCATCTCTAACCTCTTCTGAAAACACTTATTCATAACATTGCCCATGTGTAAACTGTGATTATTCTGTCCCTCTGCCCAAGACCATTTTCTTCTGCTTTTAGGGAAGTTCTAGCTTGCAGAGCTTCCCTCAGCCAGTCTCCTCCAAGTCCAGCCATCAGCAAGAGGTCGTCGCTGTCACCCCAAGTCTTCCCCCAATGGTTTATGTGGTGATTTGTTAAAAGAAGCCTCTGTCCTGCATAAATAGGTTCCCTTTCAACTAAGGGGGCAGTGTAGATAGAGCCTCCTAGCAAGAAAGCTGCAGCAGTGCTGATTTGTGCAGGTGTTCCTGCCCCATGACACAGGTGAGGAAAACTGACACAGAAATACTGCTCAGGAAAGCAGGCTGCAAAGGGATATTTTGTTGCAGACAGTATCCAGCTTAGGGAAGATGAAACTGTCTGAAGGCTTAGCTCTCATTTTTAAGGAGCCATGTAGTGCATCTTGGGTTTTGCTTAATTGAAGCCTGTGTCTCTACCTGAAATAAGAGGGATGGGAAACGAGTTGGAGGGCCACAGGCTTGAGGCCTTGGTTGCTATTGTCATCTCAAGTCTGTCCTCTGTTTTGGACGGCCTCCCCTGTCCCGCTCGGAGCTGTCAGTTCACAGGCTGGGCTCAGGAGCGGGCTGCGGGGGCGGCTGCCCCCCGAGCTGGGGATGTTCAGCTGCACGGGGGCTGCGGCCCCGGCATTTGTGTCCTCAGGTGCTCATGACCTTGGCAGGATGCTGCTTTGTTACTCTGGCTGATCAGAGCAGCCAGCTTAAAATTTAAAAATGAATTTACTCCATGTTACTTGCAGATTAAAAGCTTGTGTAATTATTCCAGCAAAGTACATGGAATGAAAATTCAAAAAGAGGGAATACTGGTTTAGTCCTCACGTGCTGTCTGAGTTGGTACTCCCTGGCCAGGTTCCTTTAGCTGTTGGCACGTGGAGATGGCCCTGCTCGGTGTGCCAGTTCACCTTGCAGGGCGTTGCTGTTACCTGGGATTCTCAGTGGAGCCGTGTGACACAGCCGCAGGCAGAGATGACAAGGTCAGTGTGCCGCGGTGCAGACCGTGGTCACACTGCGGCACGAGGTCAGGGAGCACCAGGGGAAGGTGCCCATTTGAGGAAGGGCTCCCAGCCCTGTGTTTGTCTAGCACTCGGATGGCACAGTGGGGGCTGGACACAGAGCCTGAGACTGGAGGAGTGAAGCTGCAACTCTGCGTCTGGTGTGACTGGTAACGTGTCTGCTCAGCAGCCCTGGCGGGAAGGAGTCCAAGTGCTGCCGAGACCAGGGACGTGGGGAGGGCCGAGAGGGTGTCGAGCGCAGGTACCGCCAGCCCCAGCTGTTGCACAACAGTGTAAAGTCACAGTGTCCCTTGACTGCAGCCACATTGAGCTACAACCATAGCTGACATGTAATTCTAGATTGTTCAGCCAAAGGTGTCAGGATCAAAGGAGCAGATGCTTTCTGGATTTTTCAGATAAGTTGGGAAAGATGAGGTAAAACTACCTAATTATTGCATCTTTTGTTGGAGTCTTGACATTTCCATGTAATGCTTCTGGATAAAGTCTCCAAAGCCTTTGGAAGTTCCCCCTGCAGTAGCTACAGCCACCTGGAGCAGCACAAACAACTAAAGGCTTTGTCTTTTGTTGAATAAAAATACCTATCTTCATGGGAAATCTGAAGAATTGTCTGCCACAGATGCAGATACATTCCCAAAATCTATGTGCAAGTGAAACTGTTTTTCATAGAGAATGCCAACAGCTTTTGGGAAAATCTGATCCTTGTGTAAATGGAAAAAAAATGCATTGGTTCTATACTGTAAAAATGCTACAATAAAAAGGGAAGCACAATGCTATTGGTTCATCTGAGGGAACAGCAAGAACTGGAAAGATGGAATAGAATTAAATCTTTTATTGAGGCAGCTATTTTCACCTTAAAAATAATATATATGCTTGTATATCTATTGTTATATATACTAGAAGGGAAAAATACCCTTCTAGTGCAGTGACCACAGTATATGGTGCTGTTTGCAGGACGCGCTGGGTGCCCGTGCCCGGCTGAGCAGGGCCGGGCGCGCGGGGAGGCGCCGGGCGCCCC